AAAGCCACTTACGATCCATCCTCACTCATAGCGTCGAGAACAAGAGAAATCAACTATCATAAACATTTTGTCTCGCACAAAGAATACCCTCTTCTCCCCATCGACCAAATACGACCCCCCCCCTGCTAGGGAACCCCCAACGACGATGTGCCCTCCTTTATGTTCAGATCTTTGTGAAACTAGAAATGTTTGATAGGCAGCTATACAGTGTAATAGTGAAAATATCAACGTAACTGGTTGACTGGATATTCCTGTTTCTAAAGAAAGGCGCTATCGATTTTGCTTAGTATGATAACAGTGGCTGAAATTTTGTCATGTGGAATGTCATTGACCGCCTCGTAAAACGCAAAAAATCAGCGGCATAACTGTTATTACTGAACGACCTATCTGTACATACTACATCTTACAACTCTCTCCGGAATCAAACTGGGCAAATCGGAAAAGTCTAATGAAACTCCTTATTCAAAGATCTGGTAAGCAATCAGGCACAGGACTGTGTCTCGAAAACGTGGGTCCTGGGAGAACGAAGATCTTGAAGTGTTCAATAAGGGTGAAACGAAAATTAAAGCAGATTTCAAAAAGTCGAGTACTGCGGATTTCATGCTGCAGGGACCATCTAGAAAGTCTAGGGAACCGAAAATACTAAACTATGCAGAACATGTTAGCCCCTGGTTCAAACTGTTTGAATGCGTGATTCTCGGTAAAGGCGTAACTGTGCAAGGTTCAAAGAACAGCACCTTCTGGCTGAAAATTGATAAGGTAACTGACTGTATAAGAAGTTCAAAATTTAGCTAAAAAATCGACCTAAGAAAAATTGATAAATACAGTTCCTCAGGAATTTCAGAGCGTTCACAACAAAATTTGCATCACAAAGTTTGGGAGCAGAACAAAAACCCTTTTCGGGGATTCATTATATTTAAAACGGAGATTCACTCCACTAACGATGGCTGCCAGGTGGACATACTGAGCCCATCACGGGGCTAGGGAAATTTTTTTTCCTTGTGGAATCACTACCTCAAACCCCTCCTCACAACAGCTCTCCGAAAATTTCAGCACAGTGGTGGCGAAAAACTGTGTGTATGTAACCTGAAGAATCATAACAAAATCTCGATCTCTTCCCCCCTCCCCCCTTTCCGCCCCCAAAGTCCCCGCACCCACACCTACTAAAGGTGTCCCATCTAAAGTCAAAATATGACCCTCCTTAATAGTGACTCAAAACGACCCCATTCTCATTCTAAGATGTCGTATGTGTTCTCCGCAAGACGAAAGCCAGTGCTTAGGTCCTCAAATGACACTAATAATCCTCAGAATTTCTAACTATTTATGACTATTAAACATATTGATCAGTGCAAGTGCTCGGCATTAAGCAACCTTATCGCGACGCGCCCTAGTTCGGACTTAGTTCGGAGCCACAGAGCCAACGGGATATGAGTCAGCTCACAGAGGCTGTAGCCTTCACGGCCAGCTTCCTCGCAAAAAGGTTTTCTAAGCGCGGGCGGGACTCGATCTGCACTTGTGGAATGCAGCGGTGTGACTTCCAACGCTTCAGCTCCGTCGAAGTTTCAATTTTTGTTTCGTTCCCTCGACGGTTTACAAGGAAAGATAAAGATTATGTCGAGGGAACCTTTTGTCAAATCCAGCCCCTTCCTCCAGTCAATAACCCTTCGATAACCTGAACTATCAGAACTGGTAGAATATCCGCCCGCTGTATGAGGGATGACTAAAGCGCCTGAACCGGTAAACATCAATAAACAAAAACTTTTCGTCAGCACAAATACAATCCCATTCCGCTCCCATTTCAGTTGTGATGGGAACGAGCGTCTGGGGTCGTATCTGGCTCAGGACGTCCTGCCGGTGAGGAAACTTTTCGGAAAACACGGCCCTCCCCCCACTGGAATTCTCTCAACGATGTGACAGAGGATTCCCGTGAAACCGGAAAAACCAATTTTCAAAAGAAATCTTTTCAGATAAACGACCTTCCCCTCCAGCAAATGTATACGACCTCCCCTTCCCCCTCCCCCTCCAAGCTGGGGATTTCCCAACATAATACGTCCCCTGATCTGGCTAGTTCATAGTTAGTTTCTATTGTTGTGTTTCAAGTGCGCCACATACCCCGTCCCCCCCCCCCGTCGTCATAGTTGATTTTTCTAGTGGCGCATTGGTTTCAACCATCTGCTCAAGCACGGTTTGGAAGGTATCTTGGAACAAATTCCCTCTTGCCTATGGCATCTCCTGCGTAAAAGGTGGTCCTAGAATAGGCTGAGTAATTCGACGGTAAGAAGTTACTCGAACAACTTTTTCATCATTTGAGTGCCAAAGGTAACTGGTAGGGGCCTATTTGAATGAGAAGACATAAAATGAACCAAAACAGCTTAAAATAGTAAAAACTAGGGCGTTACCTGTTCGTGACGATAACATCAACATTATTTACGTTATCATCAACAGATATTATGAGTCATTATCAGTGACCTCGCCTCGTTCCCATCTAGAGCAACAATTACTCCGATGTAATACTGCATGATTCAACGCATGTCGGCGAGGATGGGGGAACCGCCCAACCCCACCCCTTTGATGAGTATATAAGGCCGCGCACCCAACCCAGCCCACTAAGATTAACGCTTACTCGTTTCTCTATGTCAATGTTTGTATTCATGGTTGACTGTCTGCGTACTACTTTGAAAGTTATTAATCTCAGAGAAAATCGATATTGTTAACATATGGCGTTCCTGCGGTTTTGCATTGTTCATTCGTATTGTTTTGAATGTTATCGTTATGTCATTTATGTGATTTATTGTGTAAATTGTTAATTTTCATTGACAGGGCACAGCGTTGCTGGGGATTCCCCAACAGGGGGTCGTATTTGGTCGCTGGGAGAGGGGGGGTCGTATTCGGGTTGAGAAAATTTTTTTGGGTAGTTGTTTCTCTTGTTTCATGACGTTGTAAGTAGGGGGACCTTATTCCCCTTCTGGCTTTTGAGAGAGGTTGCTGAGTTTTCGTGGTTTCCTGTTTCATGCCTGTTTCATGTGTACTATGTACCCATACCCCCGCTCGACAGCTCGATGAGGAGGGAACCAGGGGGGGGGGTGGTACCAACCCCTAAAAAGGGTGGTCGGTCGATGTGCCCTGCTCATTGAACGTTATTACATTTTTTGGAAGAACTTGAGCTTTAGGTTTTACTTGTGGGACTTGTCCTCTTTCATGGAAGTCCTGATCATTCGTACCATTTTGGATAAATTTAGCCTGAAATACAGCTCCAGAGCCTGTCGCGGGCTTCGTTATATTATCATTACTAGGATTTCGGGTCCTGCCGCCGGGGAGTATTTCTGCTAACTATGATCCCCACTCCATTCCTCCTCTGGTACCCTGCCCCTTCCCCAGTTCGCCTATCTTACCTGTCATCTTCCTCAGTTTTTCCAACTTCCCAACTTCCTACCTTTTCTTCAGGAGTTTTCCTCAGAAATTCTTCCAAGTTTTCCCAAGAACTATCGTTCGAGCGGGGTCAGGAGAAAGGGGGGGGGGGGGTACATAGCTCGCTCGGAATTTAGGAACAAATAAGAAAATCCAACAACAGAAAACATTCCTCTTCAAGTCCAATGACCCCCTTTTCCCCATAGCCGTTCAGCTCCTCCTTCTTGAGTAGACTCTCGAGGAGGAGAATCAAAACTATACTTGTACTGGGCAGCATTCTGCTTTTGGCAAGGGTAGGCCACCGTGCTGTCCTTCCAAGCCTTACTCTCTCTCCTCACAATAAACATTGCCGCTGAACCACCTTATTCTAACCGCATTTAAATGGTCAAGAACCCAGTCTACGCCCTGGTCCTGCTCCCCCATCCCAACCCCTTCCACTTGTTGGGGTTCCCCAGCTAACGACGTGCCCTGACCATTGCGCCTCGTACGGCCAAGGACGCCTTTTAATAGGTGATAGGGCTTTTATGCACACTGTAACCTTTACGACCCGAAAAAAATGCACCCCCTTTGCGCCTGATGTTTGACATCTGACGGCGCTTGGACGAATGGCATTGTTCGTCGGTACGGCAAACACCTTCGAGACCCAACATTGAACATACGAATTTGACTCTTTTGACTCTTTCATGCGCTTACTCTCTCACTTTATTTGGTGAATTCTCGACGTTCGACGCGTAAAACCAGTTGTCGCGCGCGACCACAATCTAACGCCCACTCATCGTGTGGCCGCGATGGTACCAACGCGGCGACATCACGCGACATTCCCGCGACATAAAAACATCTAAAGACTTCACATGATACACATGGAATCGGCGCTATGAATGGCGCAGGGAGAGCGTTTGTTGACGAAATCGGCTCAGTCATCAAATTCACATCGATTCACCTCGTAACGATCCAAATCATAACAGTCATATCGTATTATGTAGGCGTAAATTTGAGCGCATTACGTTCTAGAAAGTTCTTTTTGGTGTCAAAAAATTGCGTACCTCTGCTCGTTTTACCTACCTATTTGGTCCCACATTCCTGACCAACAACTTACAATATTTCAGTAAAAAAAGTCCAAAATGGCGGTGACGATGCGACGTAATTGGTACGATGACGATTTCGCGTTACGACATCGTGATTCATGGTGGAGCCGCGACGATTGGTTCGATGACTGGAAAGATTGGCCAGCCGATTGGCCTCGACCAAGAGATCTCATGAGCCGGGTAAGTGTGAAAAGAGAATGAATGTGTAGACAAGTTACTGGTTGTGGTGGTAGCAATCGGTATTGAGCCCATTTAAACCACTTACGGCTGGCTCGTAACCTCGTCCTCGACATTTTTCCGCGCCACGCAATTTCAACCTCAATCTATCTCATTTCGTTGCAAATAGTCTTCTAAATATTGGTCTTCAGAAAATAACCGGAATACTGGATCCTGAAAAAGAAAATTTGGCGCAGTTCGGCTTGGGGGGAGCCTTTTGCTCTTTCGCTGCTTCTCAGTGTCCGTTCATTGTTTTACAAAAGGTATTAGGTATTCCTCACAAGTTTTGACAAGTGCAGTCTCTACAAGTTCTGACTGGTACTTCAGATTTCCTAGATTTCTGCTTACTAGCTCGGCACGACAATAGGAAGTAGCGAAAGAACACAATGTTCCGCTTCCCCTCCCCCCCCCCCCAAGCTGAACAGCTTCGAAAACTTAGTTCAAAAGTTGAAATTCTCAAAAAAGAGCCAATAATTCCGAGTACCTTAAATACACTTCTCTTAGGAAAAGGAAAGTTTCAAGACCCAGTAGTTATATCAGAGGGTGATTCAGGTAGTCAGAATAGCACAATGACCCGACGATATCATTAGGCGCTGGTCGAAAATACCGGGCCATTTCCTGAAGTTCCGTAAATATTTCGGCTACCGGGTTATTTAGAGAAGTCCTGTAAATACTACGGTTATTTCGGTTGACCCTTGTAAAGTCCTGCTAGCCACGAAATACTGAAGGTTTCACGGCACTTCTTTCGATTGTTTTCGGCATTTAAAGCTTGAAGGTGTTGAGCCGCTTGAGGCATGAGGCACTTTGCCTACGGGCGCTAGGCCTAGAGGGGAAAGGGTCGCCGGCGATGTGTGAATCAACACCAATATGTGGGAAGAAGTAGGCAGGAGCGGAGGGGGGGGGGGGGAGATAAGGTGTAAAATGGTTCTACCTATTCCTTGAAATTAATACATACGGAATTCATATAAACAAAAACAGGACTTCACAAGAGCTTATATTAGGTTGGCGGAAAAGTTCTGTCACTTTTTTCAAAATTGAGCTTTCTTTTTATGGAGAGGCGTATAAGATCAAATTTGTACAGCAATGTTACTGCGGGGTCCTTGCCTGTTTTTGAGCACCTCATGGATGCCATGCTTTCACGAAGAAAGGAGCGTGCGACTGTAAACCGCTTTGGAGCCATCATCAATTCTATGGTTTGCAACTCGAGACTTTTCGAGGTTTTCTCGGTGAAATGTCTCCGTCAGCAGTAATTGATTGATTACGGGAAGGGAACTCGGCATTTAAAAAGGAGCAATGTCCTGTGCTAAGCACCATAGCAAGGAGAATGAGCCATCCGTCTCTATTGCTATAGGAACGGCCAGGCAACCACTTTTGGAAAGTGCGCCTGCACCTATCAGAAGGCATTTTGGAGGGGTCGGTGTCCATGGTAGCGGATAACATTCTTGTCCATATTGCAGTAGAAGGAGAAGCAGGAATCAAGCGAGTGGTACTGATAGAAAGACACTCTGTATGATGTATACAGTGCTCCACATTACCGTTCACAACAAAGAACCCCTTCCAGGTAAATGGACAAGTATTTTGAGAGGTAATGGACAAGTATTCTGAGTTCGACATAGTGACAGAACTTTCCCGCCAACCTAATAGAACGACAAGTTGGAGTCAAGGCCATCATTGATGGTACCTGTAATGGTGCAATTTCGATCAAAAGTCAATAAGATTGTGAGCAAATGGAAGGCTCTGTTACAATTAAAAAATTATTTATTTCAAAAAAGCGGTAGCAAACTTCACAAAAAAAACTTCTAAAAAATCAAAAAAAAAACTTGTGAAAAGTCCTGAAGTTTTGAAAAGCCCCCGATGGGCACTGATTTTCGCACTTTTTTTTGAAGCGTTTGCAAAATCTTTGAGTAGTTCTTTCGCAGTATCTCAAGGTTTTCAGCAGAAATGGACCAAAATGAGATTTTCGACAGGACCAGAAAGTAACGATCGCTTTCGAAACAAAAACAGCGCAGCTACGAAGCGTTCAGCTGTGCACGCATCATACCAAACGCCTTTGTGATCGAGGATTTTTCCAGTTTCATTGACCGTTTCAGAGAGGGAGAGAGCGAGCCAGACTTGCTTTTAGGCCTCGCTAGTCGTCGGCCCATTATGATCCAGTCCCTAGCAGCCATACAGTCAATGTCACTCCTCATACCTCACCGTCTGTATCATCCCCCCACCTCCTCTCAACTCCTCCCACTTTTCAGCCATCGCACCCCACTTGTGAACCCGTCAATTATCAGCTCAACCCATTCTAATGCTCTAAACGATCGTTATAGGGGCGTTAGTGGGACGTTCACAAAGGATTCCTAGTACTCTAAGTGTTCTGTTTTCATTGTTTTTATTTTTATTTTGTTGCAGTTCTGGCGCGATACCGATCATTGGTGGCGTGACTGGCCGTCGGATTGGCCTCGCATGGATGCAGTCATGCCGAGAGTGAGTTTCACGTAGTTCTTTTCGGAAAAATTCATTCAATAGGTGAAAAGTCAAGATGTGCAGCTCTTCCCTATTGATGACGTCATAAAATTTATTGGTTGCCATTTTCATACGATTCAATAGTGGCATAGGAGGGCCCGATTTGGGCAAATATTGCAATAGGCATGAGTCCTATGATCGAAATCGTTTATCGAACTGGTTTCGGATACAGCCGCCCCTCTCGTCTGCATATGGAATAAATATTGCTACATTTCTTGTTTTTTGGCATGGTAGTGACATCTATTAGGAACTCATTAACTAGTTACTTCTACTTTCTTCATTTCAGTTCACCTCTCATTTGGATCGTATCGATCGCAATTGGCGAAATGATCCGTTCTGGCAGGACATCTATCCACGCTGGGCTGAACCAATATTCAAGGTTTCTTCCGCTCTCCCACCAATCGATAATTTTTTAATAGCGTCTAATTTTTGATCATTCTAGGAAGGAATTGACGTTCACTCCAACATCATCAACGATGAGCGAAGATTCGCTGTTGAAGTGGATTGCTACCAGTTCAGACCAGAGGAGATTCAGGTAAACTGCCATGTTATCGATCTTTCTCCAGTTACATGGTGAAAAAATGAATTTCTACATCCGATCAATAGTCGTTAATAGGATAACACAAAACTGGTATGGGCCTCACTAAGCCTAGTCTCGAAACTAGTATTTCCCAGGGGGTCTGGTAGGTGTAGGCGATCAATTTCAGTTGCTTTTTATGTAGAGCTGAAATAATGCCGCTAGTAGATCATACGTGGGGCCATTCGGTGAAACTACTGAGTCATACTTGATGGCTTAAAGTTTTCGAGTACTTGTTGGTTGACTAGTATCATTTACAATACACGGAATTTTTTTATAAGAAACCTATGATCATCATCCCTTAAATTCTGTTCATATTACAAGAACATTCCACGCTGTTTGCATAGGCGTAGAGCCAGGATCACCTCATTGGCCGCCCCTCTTCTTTACCGTCTCAAAAGCAGTGCGCACCAATCAGAAAGCCACGAGAGCACTCTGTTTCTGCCTATTTACTCTTCGTTTTCGTGGTATTTTTCAAGGTAATCAATAAAAGTCGAATATTTCAAAAGTCTGGCCTGCTGCACTGCTACAATAATTCCCCATTTTTTTCTGCTTAGTAGGTTTGTATGGCGAAAAAGACTAATCCACATGGCACAGACATTCTAGTTCAAAGATCCAGTCTCAAAAAAAATTAGGAAGGGTTCCTCGGTGCTCAATCCAGAACCCGGTTTATAGAAATTCATATCGCCAAACTTTCTTTTGTATGAGGTCTTGGCGCCGCTACCACCATATCGCGGGGCTTGCTTCCCCAGAGTAGGAATTACAAATCTCATATCCCTAGATATCTAATTTCCTAGCACTGAAGCCGCAAACAAGTTTTCCATCCTGCCGAGGGGCGGTCACTTCAGACTAGGTGCAGAATTGCTCGGAACACACTGGCACTGGCCTCCTTTTGAAAAGTCTTGTATAGACCGAATCACATTCAAACGCCGCTACGACGCTGAATGGCAGTCGTATACACGGCGCATCCTAGAATGATTGCTACGTAGTTAAAGTTGAAAGAATACTCCTTTGACTGATGGAATATTCGAATGCAAGGGTGAAGATAATGCTGGTGTGAAATATTGGTCCTGCACGACTATTTTATACTGGGATGTTCTAATACCAGAGAAATACATTCCCGTTGATCGATCGATTTCGAAAGTCCATTTCGTTGTAGTCCTATGGGCGGAGTCGCTTGGGCAAGTTCGATCAGAGTGGAAGTAGCATTTAACCTGATTTTATCGATCGCTAATGTGCCGAAGTACACGAAAATAGTTTTGAACTTGACTGCTTAGCCAAATATAGACGGCATGTCAGTGGTTTGTGTAAATATCTTTCGAAACTGGCAGAGGTCACAAAGGTACAGAAAAAACGACATTCTCAAAAAAAACTACTGTAACTAGTTCGCTTGTTGAAACACGATGGAATAGAAGTATTACTGTATTCACCAACTTTCAGGTCAAGACTCAAGACGATACCCTAATGATTGAGGGACGGCATGAAGATGTACGTGATCGCGATAACTTTACTAAAATGTATTTCGTACGGAAATATCAAATGCCACGCGACGTCGATCATGCACGTATATCAAGCAGCATTGATTCTCGAGTAAGTGGAACATCAGTACATCCTGCTGCTATTACGAAAGCATTTCCGGTTTTCGGGTTCCGAATACCGCAGAGGGGTTTAAACCACCTCTATCACGACCTGGTTTCCTTCATAGTTCTGGAAGTCGACTTCTTAACCAAACTACTTGCCACCCATTTATGATACGGTCTTGTTCGCAGCGGATGATGGGCGTGTCAGTGAGGCTGGGTTTGGCGCGCCGCCAGCCCGTTTTCCAGCAATTGTTAGCGAGTAAGCGACAACGACTGGTTGAAAACGACTGTTTCGAACGATATAGTGCAGTCCTCGCTTGCTGAAGGGTAAAAGGGGCGTGCCAAACACATCCCCTGGGACGCCCCATCTTCCGCAGCGAACAAGACTCTAAAGGGATATTCTGGTCGAGCATATTTTTCTGCTCGGATCCGCAGATGTATTTTTAAATAAATCCTCGTGCAAAACCGGTATTACCATATGAGAAGGAGGACTTTTGCCAGAGCCTGGAGGGGAGAAGGAGCTTCAGGATGGGTGAAACAATTTTGAGTATGGCAACCCCTTTCGGACCAACTGTAATCTCGGTCTTGCAAAAGAAAAAAAGGTTTCTTCAAAATAAACCCCGCGGCCCATCGCCAACTTTGCCGCCTACTTCTCAACCTCGAAGTCCGATTTTCCGAATTTGCAGGTCTGATTATCGCTCACTTTCACTTTATTAGCATCTCCAGCGAGTCAGTTCCCATTTGCAGGACGCCTTACTGTCGAAGCACCACGCGTCGATTTTCTGTTAACGGGCCCAAAAAATAAACAAAGAAGGACACCAGACGAAAAAAAATTCCCCGCACATTGAAGGCAGTGGACAACGCTCACATTCGTCATCATCTCATCGCGAAAGAATGCATGAATCTTCATATACAAGTAAGTCAAGTAAGTGTTGAAATGTATGTGAAAAGTACTGTAAACTTTCTATGTGGTGTCAGTACTAATTAATCACCTTCATTTTTGTCCGTTGTATGTCATCCGAACTAACCCCAGGTAAACGTCGGCGGTGGTGTTGCTAACATGTGAAACATGTGGATTTGAAGGACAAACCCGATTTTAACAAGAACTGCCTATCAGCAACAAGCTTTGGAGCATCTCTTATGTCCATGCCAATAGATCCACGTAGATGCTTTACGCTTGCGTTTCACAACCCAAGTCACTGGGTCATCTGGGCCAAGAATCGATTTGGCACGGGTTCAGTCGTGACCGCGTCGCGTCTGCTGGTGGCTTAGGGGGTGGGATGCATTTAATGGCACACGCTGTAGACACTCGTTGCGTGAATTGAAATGATTCTGCTAGTCCTTTGATGGAATCGATTTCATGAATAAAATCTACTGTAAAATGCCGGTACATTTTTTGAACCGAAAAGGAACACATTACTTCCTTCTTACCTATCTCTTTTAATGACCTCCGGCGGCTGACGGATCTCACCATGATAGCTTGTTTCCTACAGCGATTAGGACAGATTTCACTTGGATCAAAAAAGGCTACCTTTTGCGTGCATATGGGAAGCTGTAGAAATGCAGTCCATATCTGAAGGCAAGAGGGGGCATAGCTGCGACCGCGGCGATGATCGTGATGGTCCAGACGGAAAGGAGGCAGGGACGCATGCAAAGAGAGGAGAGTCGGCTCGTCAATGTTCAACTGTCAGCGCCCCTTTTTACCCTCTGACAAAGACTCTATCAGGGTTTGATTCTATTGCCATGGACTTGTAGAGAGCGGGTTTGGTTCTACTGACATGGAGCTGAGGGGAGTTTTTTTTAATGGAAACATTGAAAATGTAAAGGATAGCTAATTAAGTGGCTTAGTATTCAAATCCTTCACAGAGCCTATTTGGCCTTACTATGGCTTGGGAGATCGCCAGATGATCGATTCATCCCCATAAGCAGTTCTGGACGAGTTGTCTTCTCAAAATAGATGGTTTGTGGGGTTGCTAAGCAGGATGGTGGTCTCTAGCTACACCCCCGGTTTATGGCAGCATAAAAATAATTCCTTTACGAGAATGCCCAGTATAACTGAGCCAGTCTTTTGCC